CCGGGCACTAGTATTTTCTTGGCCATGTATACTCAACAGCAACCACATGCAAGCAATGAATGCAGCGAAACAAGGATCCAACACCAAGCTGCCATGTGGCAAGTATGAACTCACAATACTGAGCCTCTTAATATCCATCCTCGGTCAGTATATCTGAACAATCCCATGGTGAACCTTCTGTGCTAGAAAGGGAAGAGGCAGACATTTCCCTTTGCAGTCTGCTAGGAAATGTTGGAAACATAGGTTCTTAAAACTCGACCTGTAGGGGGGTGTATGGCCCCCCCATTCTAGCTTAAGATAGAAGGTAACCTTCTCACGCAGGTTGACAAAACCCCGAACCCCTGCACCACCTATACATAGCGCCACTGTTGCCCATGTGAGACTGAGCCGGTCCTTAGACCTGTGCTTTAGTGTGGGACTAGGACGGACGAGGGAATTTTTTTAACCTTACCGTGTGAAATTCGTTCCCATGGGGAGTTGAACCCAGGACCTGAAAGTGCTATTAAAGCCACCTAACCAACTCAGTTAGAGGACCTTTCGCGAAACATAGGTCTTTAGAGCAAATCTTTGAGTTGTAAGAAGAAGAAGGGCGTACCCAGTGCAGAGAGCTCCCGCTCTGTGCGGGGTCTGGGGAAGGTTGTCAGTGGCAAGCCTTACCCTCGCCTGTGCAATGCGAGGAGACCGCGACTTGAACCCGGGACCTTCCGGTCACAGGCGGTAAGACTCTACCGCTTGCACCAGACCCGCCCTTCAAATCTTTGAGTTGTACCTGTACATAATTGCAATAATAGCTGTATGCACCAGACAAGTTTGGTTCTTAAGTTTTGACCTGCTGTTGTCACCATGTGAATGTAGTTCTAGTTGTTACTTTTATGTCTTTTTACAACCTTAAGATGAAAAGAAGAGGTTTTGTGTCTTGTCCAATGGCTATCCTGGAAAAGCATTTTTAAGATTTCTGGACATATGAAAACCCTATCTTTTTCTGAACATATTTCTATATATAATGATAAATGAAATGCTTACAAAGGCATGGATATATAGAAGATATGGCATTATGTGTATATTTATGCACATACATTTTGTATCTGATCGATTATTTCAATATTCAACTGTACTTTAATCCTTCACAGGCTTAAATTGTGCATTGTTTTAGTCATAAATTCTGTAAAGGCTTTGTTTTTCATGGGATTATGATAAAGACAAGTGTTCAAATTTGACAAATGGTATCAAAGCAGTGAATATGTAATTCATCATTTTTGCTTTACATTTTTCATATTAAACTATTTTTTATATGTTTCTTTCTTGCATTAAACTAATGCAGGTCGCTTTTGCTATTAAACGGTCAGGGGGTAAAGACCAAGATGGTAGTGAAGTATTTGAGTGGTTTGAGAGATATGTGGTCCCTTCAAAACTGGATGTTAGCATAAATCAATTAGAGCTGGTAGGTATCAAGAATTAGGTATTAGTTACTTCTGTGCAGGATTCTATCTTGACCTTTTCTTATTAGAGGTAATTATCATTTGCTATTGAAAATATAGACAGATTTCTGTCAGAATTTTGCATTTGCTACTCTTTAGATGACCTTTTTTGTGGTCAAAATTTTCTTAAATAAAACTAGGAGATGAACCAAGATATAGTATTTACACTGTTGCTATAGTAACACTTCCACCTCATTGATATCTTCTATTAAAGAAATAGTTGAATATATCTAATATCTTTCATTGCAGTGCTCACTGTTATCACGGGGCGGTGATGTAACAGACAAACATATCACACTGTTGATGAATGCTGGTCTCTTAGTAAGTAATTTCCTCTTTATTGTTTTAAGATCATTATCACAGGTAGTGTGGCTGTACTTGTATCATCTGTTTTCATGCTTATCCATCTCTACACCTAGTATGAAAATAAAATGATCTATCTTCTCTTTACCAATTCTTACTAACTGTATATTTCTGTTTATGCTGGATTCCTTTTTCCTTCCAGACTCGCCAACTTATTGATCCAAATATTTACTGGTTTTCTATTCCAAGAATTGGCCCCATATTGAAAGGCCTATCCCAGGTTTGTGCACCTTGATATATATTTTCAGTTCCTGTTTTACAAAGTTGCCAACGTGGACATCTTTTACCATCTGAGTTGGTTGTGTTGAGCAGGGCAGGAAGGAAATTCTTTCGCTGTTGAACCGTAGAAAGTACAAGGAGATGCTGCTCTCTTCACTGGAGAATACAAAGTTAAGATTATCACCTCTTGATACGCGGTTCCTCCTTCGCGATTTGATTGGATCTGGGCACATAAAAACAGTTCAAACACCCACTGGTTTGCTTGCTCGCATATCAAGAGATTGATAGAGCTCTCTGTCGTAATTCTATTTATCTGTCCGCCTTATCTGATCATGCATGACTTGGCGATTCTAGTTTTATTTTGCATTTTACCTGTTCTCAACCTCTTTTGAGAAAAAGGCAGAATTGAGCTAGTTGTACAACAAAAGCAGGTATTTTAGGGTCCAGGAAATCTGTAGTATTGCTTCATGTACTTTCAAAGACTTAAGGCCATTGGCAATCGTTTTTTTAAGCATAAAAAATCTTAGGATGAATGGTGAAATTACATAAAACAACTTATATAGTTTAGTGGCAAATAGACTCCTGATTGACAACCCATTTGGGTAATGTTATTTCTAAATTTATGTTGAGCATTAGTGACAGTATATATAAGAGACAACACCGATATACATGTCCTCATGTCATGCTATTGTATGTACCAATTGCATAAATTAACAGACACCATTATATGCTATGTTGCCCGTTTTATTTCGCTTTTCCGGTTCTAATCTATTGGTCATGGCCGAAGGACTATTATGGTTTATTGGTTTATGGTCTTTGGACTTAACTGGCTGAATTCTCATGTGGGTTACGTTCTAGGACTCCACGGTTAGATTGTCAGTTTATGTTGAGTTCAAAGATCCTCTAACTTGCATTGATTTTTCCGCGGTCAACTAGAAAACTTTTATACACAAGCCTGATGGATCAGTTGAATAGTAGATGCATGCGTCTTATATATCTCGATGAGCAACGCATATGCTTAGATGGAACATAGATTGTCACCGTCTATAGGACCGTTCTCCTTAGCTACAAGCATTGCGATTTTCAAGAAAGAATATACTCCCTCCGTCCATGAAAGAATGCAATTCTTGCATCTTGAGGAGTCAAATGATCTGTACTTTGACAAAATTTATATAAAAACGCGCTGACGTGATACAAAATAAATATCACTAGATTAATTATGGAATATATTTTCATCGTAAACTTATTTGGAGACATAAATGCTAATATCATTTACTATAAGTTTGGTCAAACTTAACCTACTTTGACCGGCGTGGATCCTATAATTGTATTCTTTTCCGGACGGAGGGAGTACTAAGCAATATTTTCAAACAACATTCAGCATGGCCCTAACTCATCGATAGGATTTTTCATTATTATAAAAAGTGAGCTAGTGAAGAAACGTCCACCATCGGCAGTGCTAACATCCGGACGTTTGGACGGACGCCCGTTTTCGGATGCCCGCACAGCCTACCCCCGTTTGTTGATTTGTTCTCGCCCTGCACACGCACCTTGCCCTGTCGCAGCGCCCGCGCGTACGGACGACTTGCCTCGCACACGCAGCTTGCCCTATCCTCCTTGATTCGAGGTTGTTCACATTGTCCTGCACGCGCACGCCGCACCCAGTGCATCGCGTGCCCTGTCCATCGGGTCCGCTGCACCCCACTTCCTTGTGCCCGTGCCACCATCACTCCCTCATGCTGTATAACTTTCCGAACAATATGAAACAATTGAATGCAACATATGTACGAAACTGATAAAACATCTAGAACATACACTTACAACATATGTGTGAAATATATGCAACATCCAAAATCACTTGTAATATGAAAATACTTATTGCAACATACTACTGAAACAACTAAAACATTTGGAACATATTGTTGCAACATATGTGTGAAACATAACATTCAGATCAGAATGCTTGCAATATGTGTCGGGAACAGATGAAACATTTTGAACAAACCTCTGAAAACATTTGCAACATGCCTCTGAAACACTTGCAACATATGCAACATGTGCAACATCCCCAAACATCCATATGAAATAGTTGCAACATACCTCTGAAACGTCAAAAACACTTAGAAATATATGATTGCAATATGCGCTTTCATCGCAACATCTCCTTGCTAAGGTCGAGCATCGTGGCGGCCATGTGTCGACAGCGGGCACAACCTTGGTGAGGAACGATAACGTCGACAGCACCTTGGCGTGCGGGGTACAGGGCACTGCACACAGGAGCTGCAGTGGGCGCGGCAAGGATGGAGCACAGCGTGGTGACGGGATGGGGTGCATGGCACGAAAGATGACAGCAGCGAGCGCATAACGTAGTAGCACGCGATGGGCGAGCACGGGAGTAAAAGATATTTTTGAGAGAGACGGGGAGACGCAGAGAGGAAAAAGACCTATTGGCCGGTAGCGCGCAGACATGAAAAGTGGCGTCCGAACGGACGACGCCCACTCCTGAACATAACCGACCCACGATCCATCAGCCTGTTCGCTTGGTCGTAAACGATCGTAAATTTCCAACCAGAATAATATTTTTCTCTCACACCAAACTAGTCAACAGTAAATAATCCACGATCCTTTACGGCCTCCCGATCAGGCTACATATCTGGTGAATGTGCTAATAATTTCTTTAGTATTCAGTTGCTGTCCTTGTTTAGTTGCTTAAATGTTCTCACATCATCCACGTGGGACGGTGATTTTTTTTTTATTGCGAAGTTGTGGCTCGTGACTGGCCCTGGCCGAATTGCTGCAGTATTTGATTAGCGAATTTGGGAGAACCGAAACTGAAGAATCTTTAGATGTGTGGTAGGATGCCAAAGAAGCCAACAACGACAAATCTTCTTGACAAGATCTCTGGATTCCGTTGCCAAAGCCGTCAACAGCGGCATAATAATGCACGTCTTGATGCTGCCATGGCTGGCGTTCGGCCACATCCTCCCCTTCACGGAGCTCGCGAAGCGCATAGCTCGGCAGGGCCACCGCGTCACCCTCCTCTCCACGCCAAGGAACACTCGTCGGCTCATCGACGTCCCTACGGACCTCGCGCAGTCTTATCCGTGTCGTGGACGTCTCACTGCCTCCGGTCGAGCACCTGCCAGAGGGTGCCGAGGCGAGCATCGACCTCCCCTCCGATGATCTCCGCCCGTACCTGCGCTGGGCCTACGACGCCGCCTTCTTCCCTGCGCTATCGGACATCCTGCAGGCGCCAAAGACGTCGCGGCCGGACTGGGTTCTCACCGACTATGCGGCGTACTGGGCGCCCCAGGCCGCGGCGAGGCACGGCGTGCCGTGCGCGTACCTCAGCCTGTATGCCGCCGCAGTGCTCAGCTTCTTCGGACCCCCGGAGGCTCTCATGGGCCGAGGCAGGTACGCCAAGACGGCGCCGGAGCACCTGACCGAGGTCCCTGACTTCGTGCCCTTCCCGACCACCATCGCGTACCGCGGCTACGAGGCGCGACAGATGTTCAAGCCGGCAGTGGCTCCGGACGTGTCCGGGGTGGCGGAGCTCTACCGCTCCGGCATGTCCATCGACGGGGGCCAGGTAGTGGGCATCAGGAGCAGTAGGGAGTTCGAGCCGGAGTGGCTGCAGCTGCTCGGCGAGCTTTACCAGAAGCCGGTCATCCCGGTGGGGCTTTTGCCTCCACCGCCAACGCAAGACGTCGCAGGCCACGAGGCAACGTTGCGATGGCTGGAAGAACAGGCGGCAGGCTCCGTCGTGTACGCGGCCTTCGGCAGTGAGGCAAAGTTGACAAGTGCACAGCTGGAAACTATCGCTCTCGGCTTGGAGTCCTCCGCCCTGCCGTTCCTGTGGGCATTCCGGGCTCCCGGCGACGCCAACAATAGCAGGGAAGAAGGGACGGGCGACTTGCTGACCGGCTTCGAGGAGCGTGTCGACGGCCGCGGAGTCGTCTGCCGAGGCTGGGTACCTCAGGTCAGCTTCCTGGCTCACGGATCCGTTGGGGCGTTCTTGACTCACGCCGGCTGGAACTCCATCATCGAGGGCCTCACGCACGGCGTCAAGCTGGTGCTACTGCCCCTGATGTTCGATCAGGGACTCAACGCCAGGCATCTCGTGGAGAAGAAGATCGGCGTCGAGGTGCCGCGGGACGAGGAGGACGGCTCCTTCGCGCCCCAAGATATTGCTGCTGCCCTGAGGAAGGTCATGGCGGAGCGCGACGGCGAGGAGTTGGGGGTTAAGGCCAAAGACTTAGCCAGAGTGTTTGGAAATGATGAGGCCAATGATCAGTGCCTGCGAGATTTTCTAAGGTATCTGTCTCACCACAGCATCCGCTAATAATGGAATTCCATTTGTCCATATCATCGGGAGAAAGCATTTCACAATATACATTATTACACTCCCAATGAGGTGTTCTGAGCACTGTTCATGTGAGCCGTTGTTTAGCTCATCAACTGTTTATCCGGTTTAAACAGCCATTTTGATCGTTTAATAATTGCCTTTTAGCTTGAATAATTGATAACGACAAGTGACTGACTCTTTACAGTTTGCCATTTAGGATAACACTAATTATAAGTGTAGATTTTTAGTCTTTTTACTCCTTACCTTTAATTAAATTATTCGATAAAAGAAAACAATTTATATTACTACAATTAATAGGGGCATAGATGATCATTTCACAATGATTTTCTTTTTGTTTTTGAAACTAGTACTTTCTTGATTCATGCCCACGATATGTTATGGACAAATATTGTACAAGGGAAGGAGTAACATGTTTTATAACGGGCAGTGCCGATTATATTAAGAAGAAGATAAACCAGAATTGAGATGGGTAAGACAATAAGATTATACAATAAAATAACGCAATTCCAACAATAAAAATAGCAAAGAGTGCACAACTAAAATAACAAAAACTGCACGGTACGGTTGAAATGAGATATCAACATGGTCCCTACGTTGATGACTCACCACCAAACCACGTCACTGCCCTTCTACAAAAGAAGGAATAAGCGTTACCACTCCGCTAATCAAACCGAAACTTCACACCATCACCAGATGAAAAAACTACCAAGACAAAAACACCATTGCTATACGTGTGCCACCGTTAAGGCAATATCCTACACCAACCAAGCCACTGCCATGCAAGGCAAAAATTGCTGTAGGCCGTTGCAAACTATGTAGTTGTCGTGACATCATTGCTACTTGCATCGTCCACCAATGTTGTTCTGCATCGGACTAACCATTGTTATGCAAGGATAGCCGTCACAAACCGCTGGTAGCCATGAAACCAGTGTGCGAACAACTGCCTTTGGTCACCGATTGTGTAGCTCTAATCAACCTAACCACCTTACCAAAAAAACCGACACATCAAAACAACCATTTCTGGCAACCAATCTAAAGGTCTCTATGCATGAATCTCTGCCTGTGTATCTAAAGTAAATAGATCAAGGTCACAAACGTAAGTATATAACGTGCAACCAAGGAAAATGTATAAAGTGACTTTACATCATTTTTTCTAGCATTTATTGAACATATCTAGTATACCCTTACATTTTTCATGAGAAACAAGGATCAACCAAAACTCCAAAGCATCCGAACAACCAACTAGGTAGTCCATGCAACAATGAAAGTACCCGAGCATTGCTCCTAGTGTGTCCTAGTTTCGGCATGGCCTTATCTTCATAAGCATTCTTTTGGTGCCTTCAAAAGCAATTGCTCCTATGGTAGCCATCGTGGCCATCCTACTCTCTACCTTATACTTCCTCATAGTCGATCCGGCCAATTTATTATAAGGTTGTGGCGGACGGTAGTTGAGTCTAACGATTGATGACTCATGCATCTACTCACTCCGGGTAGGTGCATCCAACAATCTAAACCGATGCAATGATTAAAACAAATTTCTAGAATCTGGCATGATCATTGCTGGGTAAAGGACAACCCAATGGTGATGGCAAATGATCACTATAGGTTCAATGGCTACCTCGTAGTGATACGATGGCATCGCTGCCGGCTTTTTGTGTTTACCCGGTAGTGAAGCTTCTCCCTACACTACACCAAAATAGACAATCACTGTCGGCACATCACTGCCGGATAATTTCAATATGACAGTGATAGGGGTATCACTACCGGTTCATAAGCGACAAGCCTATCATTGTCGGATTTGAAAAACATCCAGCATTGATGAGTAATTATCACTGCTGGTTGGCAATACCCCCCGAAAATAATAGTATCACTGCCAATAGAAAGGTCCTAATATGGCTAGAGGGGGGGGGTGAATAGCACATTTAAAATTCTACAAAACCACTAGAACAGTTTGATTAGTAAAACAAACGGCGAAATGCAAACTTACTATAGCTCTACAAGGGTTGCAAGCCACCTACCCAACAATTCTAGTTGCTATGATCTCTAGTCACACAAGCGGCTATGTCACTACTCACTAAGAGCTCTCAACAAGGCTACACTAAAGAGCTCCACTAGATGAAACTAAGCTACAAAGCAAGCTCTCAATTCTAGCTACACTAAAGAGCTTGCTACAACTAGTTTGTGGGAAAGTAATGGAGTGAGTAAGGTGATTATACTGCCGCGTCGAGGAATGAACCAATCATAAGATGAATACCAATCAATCACCGGGAGAAATTCAAGAGACAAGTGACACACCAATTTTTCTCTCGAGGTTCACGTACTTGCCGACACGCTAGTCCCCGTTGTGTTGAGCAACACTTGGTGGTTCGGCAGCTAAGAGGTGTTGCACAAACCTCGTCCACACAATTGGACACCGCAAAAACCTACCCACAAGTGAGGTAGCTCAATGACACGAGCAATGTACAAGAGTTGCCTTTGGCGCTTCATCGGGGAAGGCACAAGATCCCTCACAAACAACCGATCGAGGCCAGAGACAATCACCAACCCCGCTCAATGATCCTCCAATCACCGAGCCATCTAGGTGTCGGCAAATACCAAGAGTAACAAGCTCACAACCAGCCCAAATCACCCAACTAGTGCCACAAGATGATGCAACTCAATGCAATGCACTAGAGGCTCTCCAATCTCACTCAAGATGATGAAATCAAGTGAACAAGTGAGTGGAGTGTGTTGCTTGGCTTCCAAAGGGTGTGCACAAGTGTAAGAGGTGCTAAGAGAGTGGCCAAGGCTGGTCACACCCTCTATTTATAGCCACACAAGCAAATAGAGCCGTTGTACCACTTGGAGCTGTTTCTATGAGGTCATCGGACAGGGTGGTGCTTGGCACCGGACATGGCGGTGACCTCTCCAACGGTCAAATTCCAACAGCTACAAACTAGCCATTGGGGCACCGGACAGGGTGGCGGTGGCACCGCTAAAAGGTCCTAATATGGCTAGAGGGGGGGTTGAATAGCCTATTTAAAAATCTACAAATCAACTAGAGCAATATGATTAGTATGACAAATAGCGAAATGCAAACTTGCTCTAGCTCTACAAGGGTTACAAGCCACCTATCCAACAATTCTAGTTGCAATGATTACTAGGCACACAACTTGCAATGTTACTACTCACTAAGAGCTCTCAATCTTGTTAATCTAAAGAGCTCCACTAGATGAACTTAAAATAACAAAACAAGCTCTCAATTCTAATTACACTAAAGAGCTTGCCATAACTAGTTTGCAAGAATATAAATGAGTGAGTAGGGTGATTATACCGCCGTGTAGAGGAGTGAATCAATCACAAGGTGAATATTAAATCAATCACCGGGAGAATACCAAATGGCAAGAGACAACCAATTTTCTCCCGAGGTTCACGTGCTTGCCAACACGCTACGTCCCCATTGTGTCGACCAACACTTGGTGGTTTGGTGGCTAAGAGGTGTTGCACAAACCTCGTCCACACAATTTGGACACCGCAAGAACCTACCCACAAGTGAGGTAACTCAATGACACGAGCAATCTACTAGAGTTACCTTTCGGCACTCCACCGGGGAAGGTACAAATCCCCTCACAATCATCGGAGATGGCCACGAACAATCACCAACTCGTGCCAATCCTCCTCCGCTGCTCTAAGCCATCTAGGTGGTGGCAACCACCAAGAGCAACAAGCGAATCCCATAGCAAAAACACGAACACCAAGTGCCTCTAGATGCAATCACTCAAGCAATGCACTTGGATTCTCTCTCAATCTCACAAAGATGATGAATCAATGATGGAGATGAGTGGGAGGGCTTTGGCTAAGCTCACAAGGTTGCTATGTCAATGCAAATGTCCAAGAGAGTGAGCTTGAGCCGGCCATGGGGCTTAAATAGAAGCCCCCACGAAATAGAGCCGTTGTACCCCTTCACTGGGCACAACGCGGGGTGACCGGACGCTCCGGTCAGTTCGACCGGATGCAGGACCCCAGCGTCCGATCGCTCGATGCTTGCCATGTGTCATCGGCTTTAAACGTCGATCGCCCGATCTCAATGGTCAAGTGATGACCGGACGCGTCAGTTAGAAAGTGACCGGACGCAGGACCCTAGCGTCCAGTCGTTTCTAGTAAGGTTCCAAACGTGAAATTTCACGACCGAACACGTCCGATCATGCTCGACCAGACTCACCCGGCGTCCGGTCACTCAACGTTTCCTCTGTGCGCCTCACGTCAGCACTGATCGGACTCAAACCATGAGTGTCTGGTCAGTTTACACGCCAGCATCCGGTCACAAGACTGAGACCGTGTGCTTACTGCTGTCACTGATCGGACTCTGAACCTAGCGTCCGGTCACTGCACCACCAGCGTCCGGTCACTCTGTGAACCCCTATCTTTTCTGTATAGGGCGCCGGTGGCACCGTCGGACTATCCGCACTCTACGGGTGGACACTCCGCCGGTGAAGTTTCTAACCCTTGCTCAAATGTGCCAACCACCAAGTATATCACCTTGTGCACATGTGTTAGCATATTTTCACAAGCATTTTCAAGGGTGTTAGCACTCCACTAGATCCTAAATGCATATGCAATGAGTTAGAGCATCTAGTGGCACTTTGATAACCGCATTTCAATACGAGTTTCACCCCTCTTAATAGTACGGCTATCGATCCTAAATGTGATCACACTCGCTAAGTGTCTCGATCACTAAAACAAAATGACTCATACTATTTATACCTTTGCCTTGAGCCTTTTGTTTTTCTCTTTCTTCTTTTCCAAGTTCAAGCATTTGATCATCACCATGCCATCACCATCATCATGATCTTCACCATTGCTTCATCACTTGGAGTAGTGTTACCTATCTCATAATCACTTTGATAAACTAGGTTAACACTTAGGGTTTCATCAATTAACCAAAACCAAACTAGAGCTTTCAACCGCCCTAGGGGTGGCGGTGACCACCTTGCCGA